TTGCCCATAGTGTGATGTGGATCTAGCAGGAAAACAATAATCCAAAGAACTCTGTAGGGGTAGGGTTCGTGAATCGTTTCTCGATTCTGTCTAATACATGACGGACGGCGTGCATCACATGGTGGTGCACGCGATACCGAAGGGTACTTGTTTTGCTTGGATTTTCTTTGGCGTTCTTCATGCTCGATCATATTTTAAAGTATTCGTTTACATTATGGATACAAGAATCCATGGGACTTCTTTTGGTCGAGGTTTATCTAACTTTAGTGTTTTGTATTCAATAGACAAATTTCAAAAATCAAATACTTTTTTTCTAAATCGGATAATTTTTGATTAACGCTGAATTGTGTTCAGACGGATGTTGGTGGAATGGTCAAATTGGATGCGAAGCGCACGGAACTTCTCAACGTTCTATGGGCAGAGACTATTTCTAAGTCAGAAGCTGACTGGGCGGAAATGGCCAACCAAAAGCTTGAAATGTACGAAAAGGTAAAGATGACAGTGTATGGTTACGAATCATTGGTGTGATATTTATAGCTTTCAGGCGCTTCTCAACTACTTGGGATATCGGGATGATTCCAATGACCGGTCTTTCATGGGGTCTCTTCGTAAAACGTTCTCATTGACGACCACTATCGGTAATCCACAGCTGAGACTTCGGCAGCTTACATTTTACTGCCCCATTTCTCCCAAACAGGGGCGAATTTTTCTCGAAATTTCTTTTCGTTATTGTATTTGCCTACCAGTTTGTTCCCGGGGGTACTCTAAGGCGTAGAACACGACCGTCACATCCATTTTTCGAGAGAACGTGTAGCCTCCGTGCCACAAGCGCTGGCGTTATCTCAAACGTTTAGCGCACGCGTCTGTAGTGCGAGTTCTTCACTTTTTTTTGCAGCAGACAAGTATTCATTCATGTCTGAGTCAAATTACTCTGTGGGGCAAGTTTCCAGCAGCTTTTGTTATTCGAAGTGATTCTGGCATATTTTCGGGGCAACCGTCTGTAACACGCCTGCAAGACGCTTTCGCACCAAACTTGTGCGATTTTCGTGTTCTACAGTTCAGACTACTTTCGCATGGGAATTTTTGTCAATTTTACCCACGAAGGCAATCAGAGAAAATCCACCACCAATTTTGGGGGAAGTAGGGCAGTAAAGGGTAACTACTGCCAAATTTCAAATGTCTGGAAGTTGTCGTTGCAGTAGCTTTGTTAAGAAATTTATTGCAGGTCCAATGAACATTGCTGCTTTCAACACTGCTGGAAAAGCCTTCGCTATTTTGTATACACTTATAGGTGAATATCTTTTCAAAAATCTAATATAGCAGGAGACTATCATTACAAGTGTTACCACCACTTTTTTGGAATTTCCTTCACATTGAGAAGCTCTATCTCGTAAGGATCTTAATGCGAATCATTTTATGAGTTAACATACAACATCGTTGCAGGGGTGCCACTGTGCTTGTTGCTCCGTCTCACAATTGTGGAGGAAATGATTCGTCTATATGAGCGTGAATCTTCTCGAAGTCTGCTCATTTATTCATTTATTTATTATTTATCTATTTATTTTCACTTATTTAATTTTTTGCTTACTTTTTTTCATTAACACTCGCTTGCTGCGCCAATAATGGTGCATAAGGGCAAATATGGAGATGTAGAAAGGCTTAAATGAATTTAAATCAAGTGGGCAGTGAGAGTTCGCTGAAGCTTCTGCTGATGCGAAAAAAAAAACTGAATTTGTGATTGACGGGGGCTCTTATTCAAAAGAGATCTGCTAAATCGAGCAACAAAGGTTTTTTTTATCAAGCAGCACCTGTTAGTTATTAATTATCTTGTCCCGGAGCCTCATGAGGGTCCGTAAGATATAAGGAGGCCTTCTTCTGGGAAGGCGGTTGACCCTCCTTTGCAAGGAGGGGTAGCTTCCGTGGAATTGTTATTGCACCTAGAAAAGAAGTGTAGACATACGGACTCGAAGAAAGTTTCGACTAATTAGTGATCCGCTGTTCCAGCAGTTATACTATCTACAGAATTTTGGAGATTCAATGGATGTTTGCTGGACTACCATAGGAATTCACAGAGGGTGTCGTATGGGGATCTTTTTCGGGGAGAAGGGAAGTGATCCGAAATATGCGCAGCAAATTCGCTGATTTCAAGGAAATATTCGTTGTTTTTCGAAACGTAAACTCATTCGTATCTTTACACCCCAAACAAAGATATTTAGCAAAAATCACCACATTCAGAGCGAAAAACCCCTTCTGACATTGGTTCCAGGAGCGTAACTCTTAAGAGTTCTCGAGTTTAGTGATTTGATGAAATTGCCTTATTCTTGACGATCAGCAAATCCGAAATCTAGGTTCTATTATAACTTTCGAATTTTAAGTATATTTCAGGAGCCATCAATTTGTTCCATTTCTGGTCCGAACACCTCACAACTCCTCAAATACGGAAGTGGCACTCAGAAAAAAATCATTCATTGTTCCCCAGAATTCAACATTTTTGTTATGCTTGCTTCACTCTGTCTACTGAAACCTGTAGTCCAGTGGTGGATGAAAAATTGTGATAAATCTTGGGGGGCAATAACCTAACATCTGTCAGCGGGTAACGCATTGATAAGCAACTGTCATGGGGAAAACAATTGGCAATAAAATAAGAAGTTGAGAAATGAGAACGAACAACATTTTTTTTCAGGGAAGAGCTTTACTGATGCCTGTCTTGGGCTTCATCTTCGTATCTGCTATCATTTATGATATTATAGAAGACGGGACTGATGATGTCGTAGGTTGCCTTCTTTACGCGTATTAATGATATGATTCGTGAACTTCTTAAAGGCACATTCCAAAATTACCCAAGTGTGATGATTAAGCTTGAAAGTGGAAGTAGAGGTGCAAAGTGGACTGTCAGCGAAGAAAAGGAAAAATCAAGTGCTAAAGCGCTGTAAATAAGGACTTATTTCTCTCAAACGCCTTACGGGTAAGAGACAATGTGCGAGAGAGCATAGAGACAAGGAAACGCGGACACCAAAGTTTTCACCACGGTGGGCGTGCATCGATGCGCACGAGTGGCACCACACTTGCCATCAGAAAGCTATCTTATTCGCAGGAGAGGTTGTGCCACGACCTTAGAACGTGCCTTTAATAAACAACTTTGAGTCACTGCGAAGGCACATCTTGTAAGACCTTTAAATGACCACTGTCTAAATTCTCGGATAAAATGCTCATCTTTCTATTAAAGAACGTTATCTACTCAAAATTTTGGCCTGCGATAGCTGTAGCATAGATATCTTGTATTTGGCTCTATTTGAGCATTACCCTCACCACCTTGCCAGCTGATGGATCGAAAAACACAGCTTCATGACGGTCATTTAGAGGTCTTACGGCAATTACAGCATCTAATCTTGTGAATGCTTCATCGATACCTCACAGTAACGATTTAGCCATTCGTGGACGCTATTTTCTCAATCTTCTTACAGTTCTCTGCAATAGGCGAAATGGATAGCAAATTTCAGTAAGTTCATAGTTTTTTACTGAAGCCCTTATTTAAGAACAAGTGCTTCAAGGACTTGATGGAAATAAAGTGGGATGAGGGTTAGGGTCAGTTTTTATTTTTTCAGCGGCATAATTCCTTATGTGATTATTATCACTGGTGTTGCCATGATGAGCGCCGTGTTTTCTCAAATGCAGCATGAACTCGAGCGGTCGGTCCATGGGCTGGAGTTCACATTCTCAAAGTCAGTTTATATTAATGTAACGATACTAGAAGACTTCCATCACTTTGCATTTTTAACAGAATATCTTGCAATTCAATTGTTGAAAATCAAAGATCAAGAATTGTAATCCCTTCAAAAAGCGAGAAAGTGTCGGGTGCAGACCAAACACCACAACTGACGACGGCCTCCAAGTAAATCTGGTTAGAAGTTGTTCATAGTGATAGCTGATTTCTGGTAAATGATAGTTGTAATTAGTGACAATCGATAGAATACAACTGCAACAGGCTAATCATTTCATTGGCAGAAAACAAACATTTTGTGGAGACCGTCGTCATTGTGGTGCATGGTCTGCACCCGACACTTGCTCGCTTTTTGGAGGGGAGGGTTTATGCTTCAGCATTGCCTCAAAAAAGTGAAAAATTGGGAAGA